CATAGTGCCAGCACGTGACACACACCCCGCGGCTCCTCCCCTTTTGCCCCGGGGTTGCCGGGAGGAGGAGCTGCAAAAGGAATTCCCTTCTGTTACCGTCATTGCTGGTAATTAGCCGGTCTTATTCTGCCAGTGCACGCTTGTACTATGCAGATTTTCTATCACGTTTTCTGTTCTGGATTCTCTTCTTAAGTCCAGGGGTTTCCCCAGGGAAAATTATAATAAAGGATTATACTTCTATAATCATATTTAACTGCGCTTTTCCACGCCTCCATCCCCTTCAAATGTTGCTATTTTATGTAGCTGTTGACCAAAAAAGGAACATTACCCAACAGTTTTTCGATTATATGTGCTGTACTATATGCATCTTGCTAAGAGGCAGGGCTGCTAAAAAAGTGCACTTGTTCCAGGACCAATTAAAAAGTTATTACCGTACTGTATGTGTTTTATAATAACAGCACTGATAATCACATTTGATATAAGTCTTTTGTATATGGCATAGGCACCTTACAGATTCTCCCAGTACTATTAAAAATTGTTATAAATATGATACATACTATAATAAGCATAGATAGCCATAATTGCTAGATAGCTCAATGATTTAGGTCTCTGGCAGTGGAGCCAGAGATTGGGATCTTGATTCCCAAAAGTGCCTTCCTGACAGGGTCTGGAATCTATGATCTATGGGGTCCTTTTCAGCTCTGTAGTTCTAAGATAATGATGATGATATTTGAAAGTGTTTTCAGAACTGCAGGAAGGGGAAAAACATTAAGTGAAGAACCTTGGCAACTGTTTGGATGCAAGACAACATCATTCATTAATGCTCCTGCATCATAAATTGGAAGGACAAATGTACTTTGGGCACATAAGGAGAAGATAGATAGATAGATTGAAAGGAAGGAAGAAAGGAAGAAAGAAAGAAATGGAAGGCATCAGGAAGAGAGGAAGATTGAAAGTCAGATGGACAGACTCCATAAATAAACCACAGTCTTGAGTATGCAGGACCTGAACAGGACTATTAAATATAGGACCTCTTGGAAGCTATTAATCCATAGAATCACCACCATAAATCAGAAGAAACCTGACACTAGATGAAGAATAATCTAAAAAGTCAAAATTGTCCCAATGACATGAAACCTCTGGTAGACGAAGGAATAGTAGTAGCAGTTAACTGCATAGTCTCAGCTTCTGTGTCTGTTCAGTCTCCTAATATGGTTGGTGGATGACAACAAGTTGTTGGTGTAGTGAGTGGGTAGATAGTCTTTCTACCTCCATCATCTGCCTAAGGCCCAAAGGGCAATGGAACATCACAAGGGTGGCATTCATTCTGCAAGGGATGCTATCAGAGCTCTCTTTGTCTTCTTTGGACAAAAGCGATGCATCATGTGAAAAGACAGCAGCAAGCTCCGGATAGAAACAAGGGACTGGGGACTGACTGACTGGGTCCAATTAATATGAAGTAACTGTGTTTTAAATGGATGTATTTGAATGGTCTTTTATTTCAGTTTGAGTTCATTTAAAGGCCCATTGGTTCCTCATGGTAACTGGTAAAAGACAAGCAGCCCAAAAAATGTAGTTAAAAGAGCCAAAGTGAAATGGTAGAACGTCAGTAAATTGGAATTTGGTTCAACAGACAGTGTGGGAACATAGGTACAAAATCAAAGTCTGAATAGAAATGGCTTAGGATCAAGTTGCTTGAAACAAAGAATGTCACATCCAGAGCAAAAGAAGAATATGCATTGCATGGGGCTTGTTTTAAACAATTACCTTATGGCATAAAATTCAATCCATAAGGTCTTCTGGAGACACCATCTTAGAACAATCTTTTCCCACAAATTTGACATAAGCTTATGATTTCTAGCTGGATCACTGGTTTGCAAAGCCACAGGTTAGGCTTTCAATCCCCCCCCCATGCCTCTTGGGAGAAAACCCAAGAGGGCAAGCTCACACTCCCGGGGATACCCCTAGAAGAAGAGAATAGGAAACCACTTCTGAGCACTCTTTACCTAGAAAATCTTGGAAAGTGTGGAATCAACTTGGTATTATGCAGTTATTATAACCGAAGTACCTACCTATTCATGCAGGCCTTACCTGTATTGTACAACCCTCAATATACATGATCTGTATATTATGTATGTTGTAATGTTTGTATTTGTATTACATATACTGTATTGAATGTTTATTATTGCACACCACATTGACATGGTTTGAATCTATTTAAGAAATATTCATAAATAATAAACAGATATGGATTTTAAAAGACTCTCCTATAAAAGGCACAGAAACATCTGAAATATGGATTTGTTACCAGATGCGAACAATTTATTGGATGACCAGCGCAAAAGTACTTAATGAACAAATTGAGACCAGGAAAATCATAAAATACAGAAACTCAAGAGTACTGGAGTCATGAAATGAAGAAAAAAGTCCAGATTGTTACAGCTGAGCATTCAGGACAAAATAAATATGGGTGAAATTACAGGAAGGAAAACGTCTTTGCTGAAAAACTGGGAGGCTGGCTTGGATATGTTTTTGGAGTTGGAGTTGCTGCATCCACGGGGAAAACTGCTACCATTAAGTCCAAGAAAAAGACTCAGGCTTAACTCCCCCAGAAGTGGGGAACCTTTGCCTGCTCCCTGGATATGTTGGTCTGCTCCTGCCAAGAGCACCTGCTGTAAGCCATACTGGAAGGGCCTGAATAGCCCTGGAGAACCAAAAGTACTTCAACTTGTGCTGTAACCATTGCACAACACCGTCATCTCTGATAGGACCACAGTAGTGCACTACATGGACTCTTCTCACATCACAGTTCTCTGGAGTCTCTATAGTCAAGTGCGCTTTCTCATTGTCTGAAAGTACAACCAAGCCGCTTTTAGTAATGAACCAGATTTGCTGTAGGGGGGCGGAAATAGAAATTAAATTTGGGTCGAATTGGGATTCGAACCACAAACGCTAGGAAGGGAAAGGAAAGGAATAGGAAAGCTCCGCCCTCTTGATGCCTCTTGGCTTCTGAAAAAACGATGCATAAAGTCTCGCGATACTTTTCAGAGGCGGGACGGCGGCGAGAGACTCGAGCGAGAGCGAGTGAGAGATGCGTGTGGGCGTGGCCTGGCTCGAGGCGCACGCGGGATCTCATTGGCTGGCGGGCAGCGCGTGGAGGGCAGTGGAGAGCGCCACGTTCCGAGGAGAAAGAGAGAAGCAGCCCAAGTCGGGGCGGGAGGTGGGGCGAGGGAGTGGGCGTGGCTTTATTTCTTTTTAATACGGCGCGCCAGCCAATGGGGTCCGCGCCTCTGGCTTCAGTGCGTACGTGAGTTGCGCGGCCTGCGCGCGCGCAGGAGCGACGGGAGTCTCCTGCCGGGTCCGCCGAGGCGAGGGCTGGGCTAAGATGGCGGCGCCCGTCCTGCTGCGAGTCTCGGTGCCGCGCTGGGAGCGGGCGGCCCGTTACGCCGTGTGCCTGGCCGGCATCGCCCTCTCGCTCTACGCCTGTCACCTGGAGCGCGAGAAGGGCCGCGACCTCCATTACCGGGCCCTCTGCGACCTCAGCGAGCGCGTCCGCTGTTCCGCCGCCATCGCCTCCAGGTCAGGCCCGCCAGGGGACCCGGCCCAAGCTGGGGTGGGGGAGTCGGGAATACCCCTGATCCTGTCTAGAGGGCGTTTCACCTCATCCCACTAGTCCCTGAAATGAGAACTGCACGTGTCCAGGAATTCCTCGGGGGGGGAACAGCCTCTGACCGTGGGCAGAGCACAGCTGCTGCTCCCGCCACGAAACCTTGACTTTAGTGGCCTTGCTGATCGCCTCTAAGCCCTGAACCACAACTGTCCCTGTCTAGCATGTGCAGAGCGTGCAGTCTTGTACCTTGAGAGGCCGGCTCTAGTCGTATAAGAGGAAAAGGGGGGAAAAAGGAGTTAGTCTGCATAAAAGTTTTTTTTCGCCCAAGCCCTGGCAACCTACTTGTTCTAGTCTTGTTGCAGCACTTTGTGGCTGTAAAAACTTGCTCCGGAATGTTTTCTGGCATCTCAGAGCAGGTTTTAAGGGTCTTTATTGGGATCTCCAGTAGAAATAAGCTGGGCCATTGTGATTGTGATTGATTTATGGAGATCCCTAGATATTAGGAAGTGTTGTGCCTGTGAAGATTATATGGTAGAGTCTATTGGTCTCCCCCTCCCCCTTGTTGCTGCAGGCACATTAAAGCATGTGTTTTTGTAAAGACATGCCTATATTGTCGCTGATGTTTCCCTGGACTTTTACCTGATTTATTAGATTGATTGTGTTACTCCCTGTTGACTGAATTCAAAAAGAGAGGTTGGTGGGTGGAAATTTGAGTGGTGAAGCCAGCAGGACCAGGAAGAGATGTGTGTCAAAGTGCCATGTAGATAATAAGAGAAGTCAATATATCAAAGCCCTTTTTTGAAAGTTGCTTTCCAGGAGGGCAGCATTTTTAATTCATTGTGTCAGGAACAAAAATAGCCTATTATGTCAGGTATTTCTGTAGACTAATATACTTCATAATTGTGTGCTGTCAGGATTATGTGGGTTTGAAGTACTGTACAGTACTTAGAAGTGGATTGCCACTCTTTTCCTCTCTCAGTTGTTTGGGACCCCCATGCAGCTTTCCCAAGGAAACAGCAGTAACCTAAAGCACATTATCTCATCAGCTACACAAGTTCTGCCCAAGCTTGGGTGACCACTTTCTTGGGAGGCACAGAAGGGATTCAGACTCCTTGGTCAGAGAGGTGCTTCAACCCACTGAACTAAACCAGCACTTTCTGTCTACTAAAGCCTGCTGTATCAGAGACAGTCATTTCACAGACAGATTCATTCATACTGGGCCAAGAAGGAAGAGTCAGAGACATGAGCTGTTTAAAAATAATGAGGCCAGGAAGCTCAGCAAGATGCATACCAAACAAGTGAATCTGATAATCCATCTATAAAGCAAAGGAAAATCACGTTGGAATGGATACGATCTCCTCCTAGTTGGCCATGGACTGGTTTAGCAAGATTATTAGTATCTGTTAAGATCTTAAGTGAAACAATCATTTCCTGCAGTGGGCAGGTCACTCTCACTATCTCTGGAGCTCATCTGACACAGACAGATCTGTGAATGCATTACAGTAGTTACCACACACTCTCTGAAATTGGCAATAAAGAAACTTCTATCTAAAAGGGGCAGATCTTTATTTTAAGTTTACATTAAAGTGAGGAGGAATGTCTGGGAAATGTAATAAATATCTGCGTATTTTTTTAATAAGCTGGGAAGTTGGAACGCTTGATTTTCAGTAATGTAATGAAATGTGCCTGTCCTCTTTCCAAGTTTTCTTTCCAGCAGTGGGTGGAGAAGACGGACACATTCAGCACATTGTTTTCTGATTTTCAGGGCTTGGACTGTTTCTCCTGTTTTCTTTCTTGCCTGATGATGCTACTCCGATGCCGAGCATTTTGGGCTCCTGGATAAGTTGATGACAGTGATGGTGGAGAGGCTGTTCTGTGCCAGCAATGTGACTATGCTTAGGTGGATGAGGGCTGGAGTGTTTTTGGAGGACGGGGTGTGGTAGTGGATGAGAGCAAGAAGGAAGCAGAGAAGGAGAAGAATGGAGCAAGGTTGCACTGACTTCATGTGAGGCCTTTCAGGCTTTCGCTGTCTTTCTGACTCTGTGGGTTTCATGAATCAGAACACAGTGAGAGGTCTGATGACACCTAGTGACCCTCTTTAAATGAACTGAGGCAACAGTTTGTAGAAATTAGGACACTGGGAGGAAAAGAAAGAGCTCTTCACAACAATATGTTTACAAGGACTAAGACTGAGTTTAGCTCTCTTCTGTGGTTGTTAGAAAAGGAGATCTTGCTGCAGTAGATTGTTTAGGGAGGTGTGGGCGAAGTCCAGCCTTCAAGAGGGAACAAACATTGGAGGCTGCCTTCTACTGATTCATGTCCTTGGTCTGGCTTTCCCAGTGTTGGTAACAGTGGCCTGCAGCTGTAGCTCTCCAGGCGGCATTCAGGCAGGACCTTTTCTTAGCTCAGCCTGGAGGTCCTGATGGGGAAGGAAACTGGGATTTTTTTATCCCATACACAAAGCATGTGCTCTGTGACTGAACTGCAGCCCCTTCTCAACTGCAGTTCCCCTCAGTTCTAAGAACAGAAAAAGACCAACACTGGATCAGAACCAACTAGTTTCTAATGAGAAATCTACTAGGAGGATGTGAGTGTAACTTTTTGCCCAAGCCCAAAAAACCACTAAGAAGGACGTCCAGGAGGTCCCATAACACCTGGAGGGTTTCATTTCTCCGACCCTAGGGCCAGCAGGAAAGAAGTCTTACCAGTTTAAGAGAAATGTTAAGCACCTTAACCCTGGAATCATCAAGGAATATGTTTTACTATAAACAGATGCAGCAGCCTTTGTATGCACACTATGAACACTTCCCACAATCATATTAGTAAAGAAATTAAGTGATAAAAGGAGTCTCCAGGGAACATGAAGTGAGGCATGAGAAAGCCATCCAGTGCTGTTGGATGTTGTATGGCTGCTACTTACTATGGAGTTTGTGTCAAAATTTTGAAGTTTGTTGCTGCAAAGAATAGCCAGGGCCAAATCTGCAGATGTTTTCCAAAGTTCTGGATCCAATGTTTGTCTCATATGGGTGCTGTGTGTGTGCTCTAGGATTGGCATAGTTCATATCCGTAAGACTTTGGACCCTTTTTGCAAGTTGTATCCCATACTTTGAAAGGGAGCAATGATTCATTTCTCAGTTTTACTTTTGACAAGAAGTACAGAGATCAGCTGTCATTTCATATGCACTCTGCAGTCCTGCCTACTTTTAGTCTGGTGTGCTGGAAAGGCCCTGAGCTGTTTGCCTTGAATCTACAGTTGCACCCACATTCTAAACAATTCAGCTTTTCTTCCTTTCTCTTGTCAGAAGTGATCCAGAAGGGTTTTTGGAGTGGAAGAATCAGCTGACAGGGGCTTTTGCTGATCATGTGTCTCAAGGCCCTCTAAAACAGTTTACCACCCATCCCATCCACTCTGAAGATTTTTGGCATGGTTGTAAAACAAACTAATTGGAGGTGATGGTTGTCATAGACACAGGGCTTGCTATACACCATAAGATTTATGAGGAAATCTTAAGTGTGTGAAAGGCTTTCATCAAACGGTTCACTGTTGGATGGTCCAGAGTCTCAAGATTGCACTCTTCATATTTGTCGTGTTGACTTAACGATTAGGAAAATATTTCTGCCACACCCGTAAATGCAAGATATTATTATTCCTCCAGGTTCAGGAGGAAGCCATTCATTTTAGCTTCACAGTGATTGAACGTAGGGCAGGGCCTCTTTGTGTGTTGCCTGGATTCTGGGCTGATCTCTGTTCCTGTTGAGTCTGAGTACGAACCTTGTTATTTCCTTGAACAATATATTTCAAGGTAGCATTTGTATTTCTCCTCTTCTCCACTATCTTCACACCACCCTTGTGAGGTTGATCAGATGGAGAGGTCATCCACTGAGTTTCGTGGCTGAATGGCATCAAGGTGGCTTCCCTAGGGAGTAGTGCCACACTGACTCACACAGAGTAATGTTTCAGGTAAAAGCTGGTAAAGCCTTCTTCTTTCAGTGTTATAATAATATCAGCGTGGATAGTTTCTGGCTCTCCGTAGATTGCAGTCAGACTGCAGCTTCTCTGCTGCTCACTGTTGGGAGTGCTGATTAGGGTTCAAAGGAATTGCAATCTGCATAATGTGATCCTTCAGTTTTGCTCAGAGCTCTGTTGGCTAGCCAGGTGATGTGATGATTTTCCAACCCTATTTCTTGCTAGGTCACCATCCCTTGCAGACTGAACCATCTTTCCTTTTCTGCTAGTGTCCTCCCCTCTCTCCTTATTCCATTGTTTTACACGCCTGGTGGTGATGGGGTTGCTTGAAGCAGTGGCATGACATGTGAGAACCTAGGAAGACTGTCCAACTCCCCCACACCACACCAGGATGGGGCAGCAGCCTGGAGACATCTCATTTAAATCTGAAAGGAGTTTAACTCTGTGTTTCTTTATTTGGGGTTTATGAAGGGGCACCCAAGGCTTTACCCAGGCTTCATGCTCTGGAGAGGACACTCCTCAATTCAGAGCATGTTACCATAGTCTTTCGAGACTGAAGGATGCCTATGAGAGAGATGAAGGGGCACCCAAGGTTGGTGGCAGTGCCCTGGATTTGGTAAGTGCAGGCAACTGAATAAAGATGGAAGCCTCCCTGACCTTATTACCCCTGAGCTTCAGAAGTACTTGGGAAGCAGTAAAACTTCTTGTCGCTTTTGAATGCCTCTAGGAGTCTGGGCATAGAAAAGCCATACAGATCCAGCAGGGTGGGTTTTCTCGAAGGCTTTGTGTTTGTTTGAAAGAATCAAAGTATGTTTGTCTGAATCAATGAAAGATCTTATTTACTGTTTCCTGACTTACGGTTTTATAAAGAAAAGATGTTTGGTTAATTTTGTGTATAAATATGTCTACATTCATTATTTTCAAGATTTAATGTGATTTTTCCCCCTTCTATATGCAGATCCTCACAACCACCTTTAACCATCTTGGTCACCCTCTTCTACA